ATTCCTTGGATTTACATCTGCGGCAAGCTCCCTGCTAAGTCGAGAACCAGAGAATTCCAGCTTCTCCCTTCTCCGAGCTGTGTGCAGCTGGTGGTGGGCTCAGCAGCCTGGCATCCTCTTCCAGGGCTGCCCTCCTCTACTAAGGCCTGGTCCTCAGCCCCAGGGAAGAAAACATCGCCTCTGCTCCTGCAGCTCCACAACCTCCAACTCCAGCGGGAGCCCGGATTCTCAACCACAGGGACACAGTGCCCCCTGGGCGTCACTGGAGGAACTGCAGCATGCCTTAGGTCGGAGACGGTGGGAGGCATTTGTGGCCAGCAAGCCAGCAAGGTGGAAGCACTGCCCCAAGGAATAATTTCAGTAACTAGGATGACTCTGGGAATAAGAGTGGGGCACAACCAGAGTAGTTTAGAACCTCAGTCTTAGGATGATCTCATTGTACAGCCCAGGCCTAGGGAACATGCCTAAGAGACAGGTGCAAGGTGCCTGGTACACTTGGTTGCTTATGCATGCTGGGTTCAGCGGTGGTCCTTCAGTCACCGCCCACCACTGGAGGGCTCCACACTGAGGCTGCAGCAGGGCCTGAGGGTCACAGACAGAGGTAAGTCCCCTCTGCCCACCCAGGACCTGCCCAGCCCCTCAGACCTCCCGGCACGGCCTCACATGCCCCAGGCATGGGGAAGGGAAATGCCAAGTCCCTAGACTAGGATCAGGAAACAATAAGGCAGCTGCAGGGGAAGTGAATAATGAGCACTTTGGGGAGCAATTTGGGACATCACACAGCAGGCTTATCTCGTTGCACAGGGATAAGTCAACAACGCCTAGCGAGGGAGATGTGCTGAGCCCCAGCTTCTGGAGAATGCACTGTGGCAAGTGGCTAGCCTGATGGGAGTCACGGCTCCTCCCGCAGACTAGCAGCCCTGCAAGAGGGCCTCAACACGCCACGTGTCAGGGCTGAACAGAGCCTTGGAGAGCTTCCAGTCCTCCCTGCACCTTTTAAAGGCAGAACTGAAGCCCAGAAAGGTTAAGTCATTTGGCCACAGTCACACAGCAATGGAGCAGAACTAGGGAGGAAGGCAGCCTGTGGGCTCCTGGCCCAGACCACGCATCACTACCCGATGACATCGCTCGGACTTTCCTGGCTGGACTCCCTGGAGCTCTGAACAGCTCCCTGGACATAATGTCCCTCCTGGGCACTCCATCCATCTTGTATTCGGGCCCTAAAAGAACCCAATCTTGCTCTTTACAACAAAGTCATGGCTCTCATCTATGGCCCCAGAGCCAGTTCTTCCAGGCAGCCTTCCAGGATTATCCCTAAGCTTACTCTTTGATTTGCTAGTCTATCCCTTCCCCCCCATGTACATTGGGTTCTGGAATTCAGACTTCTGGGATTTAAATCCTGTCGTCCTCATATACGTGGCAAGACCCGTGGCCTCTCTGGGTTTCTGTCAGGAGCCGTGTACCCATTGACTGTCCTGCTGGATGGGACAGGCTTCCAGGTGAGGCCTGGAAGGGTCCTGTGTACAACGCACATGAGGCTTCAGTGCACAGAGCCAGCGGTGACATGAGCCCCACTGTGTGCACTGCCAACCTAGAACCTCAGCAGCAGAAGGTACAGGAGTGATGTGATCCTCGGGCAAGGTGTGGGCCTTGCGGCCTAGAGCAGGAGGCCACAGGGGAAGCTACCCCACAGGTGCCAGCTAACACTGAGCCCCTCAGGGTGAGGGGTCAGCTAGGGAAAGCAGGGCCAAGAGTCCAAGGTGGAGGCCAGTGTGGCGTGCTAAGGGGACAGCTGTGTGCGCTGTGGGAGGACCCTAGAGCAGGTGCTCTGAACAGCAATCAGGATAGCCCCCCTGCGGGGAAGCGAGCACCCCTGTGGTCCAGCTTCCCACCGGCTTCCCATCCAGCTGCCATGCTAACGTATGGCCTTGGAGGTTGCAGGTGCCGGTGCGTGTCTCTGGGCCCCTGCCGTCCGCATGGGAGACTTGGATTCAGTTCTGTGCCCCAGCTGTGTGGCCAGCAGACGGAAGATCTGTTTCTCTCCTGAAAACAATAAAAAACAGTATTTTCCCAGAGGAACATGAACCAGCTTGGAAAGATGGCTGGGACAGGCCACACGGGGACGCATGTGGGACAGGCAGCACTGACCCTGCAGATGGCAGGGAGCCTGGACAGAAGAGGGGCCTGGCCAGGCTGGCAGTGGTGTCGATGGTTCTAGACCCTATCAGGTGTGCTGCTTTTGTAGCACTTCCCTCCATTCCTAACTCTTCCTTTGTGTAAGAGCCAGAGTCTCTGCCCTAGCCAGCTGGCTTCAAGGCTCCCCAGCTAGGCACCTGCTGGATCAGAAAGCACTTACCCCCATGGGGCTGAGCTGGTCCATAACGCAGCTCTCTGAGGAAGAGATGCCCTTATCCCTCATCCACCTGCAGGCCCACCACTGACATTCAGCAGACGGTTGCCAATGGCACGAATGTGTACCCGTAAAACCAACATGGACAGGCTTGCCCCTGAGCAGCCAGCAGCAGCAGATCCCTTGCCCAATTCATGTTCCCATCACCCAGGACTGGGGCCCTGAAGTGGAAGGCATCAAGACACTGGCCTTGCTCGCCATCGTGCATTTTAATTTTTCCACATTGGCTTTTAAAACTGGTAACCTGGGCCCGGCATGGTGGCCAAGGGGCTAAGGTCATCGCCTTGAACGCACTGGGATCCCATGTGGGCTCCAGTTCTAATCCCGGCAGCCCTGCCTCCCATCCAGCTCCCTGCTTGTGGCCTAGGAAAGCAGCTGAGGATGGTCCAAAGCCTTGGGATCCTGCACCCATGTGGGAGATCTGGGGTAAGTTCCTGGCTCCTGGCTTCAGATCAGTGCAGCACCAGCCACTGTGGTCACTTGGGGAGTGAATCACTGGACGGAAGATCTCCTCCTCTCTGTATATCTGATTTTGCAATAAAAATAAATAAATCTTCTTTTAAAAGAACCTTCTGATATTAAAACCTTCTGATATTAAAACCTTCTGTGATTATTCTGAGCAGACATCTGGTGCAGCAGTTGAGCTGGCCTGTGGGAAACCCTGCACCCTGGCAGGCAGCAGGTGATGGCCGAGTGACTCCCTGCCACCCAAGAAGCAGACCCAGATCGAGTTCTGGGCTCCTGGTCTAGGCCTGGCCCAGCTCTGCTGTGGCAGGTATTTGGGGAGTGAATCAGCCAACGATCTTTCTGTCTTACAAATGACTCATTTTTTAAAGCTTTACTTATTATTGGAAAGGCAGATCAGATTTACAGAGAGGAGAGACAGAAAGATCTTCCACCTACTGGTTCACTTCCCAAGTAGCCACAACAGCTGCAGCCAAGTTGATCCGAAACCAGAAGCTTTTTCTGGGTCTCCACATGGGTGCAAGATCCCAAGGATTTGGGCCATCCTCAATGGCTTTCTTGGCCACAAGCAGGGAGCTGGAAGGGAAGAGAGCAGCCAAGACACAAACTGGTGCCCATTTGGGATCCTGGTGCGTGCAGAGTGAGGACTTAGTCATTGAGCCATTGTGCTGGGACCCAAATAATTCTGGATGAGTAAGTATTCAGAGGACCTCTGGCCTCTGCCTCCACCAGGCTTGGCTGGTGCTAAGTGTGGCTGCTGTGCGCTTGTAACAGGTGTCTCCTGTGCAACTTGCGTTTTCCATCTCCCAGGCTTGACATGGTCAGCTGTCTACGATGAGACCTTGGCAGCCTTGAACAAGTGACAGAACCTTCCCTTGGAAGTGACTCCTGCAGAGTCTAGTGGTCCCTGGCTTGTGACAGCGGAACCCCGCCGAGCCTCAGTGCTCTCATTTAAATAGGGATGACAGCATCATCGTGTGGAAGCAGACAGCCGAGCATCTGAGGGCATCCAAAAGGCTCATGGAAAACTGAAGTAAAAAGCAAATTGATTTTGGTGCAAAAGTTTTGAAATCCGTGCATTTTTAAAAAATAATAAATGCTTCTACCAACTTTTTAAGACCCTTAGTATGCTTTAACAGTTCAGAAACTTTCTGCACCACAATACCCTACCCAGGATTAAAGTGACAGCACAGCCCTAAGCTTGGGATGCCTCAGGAGTCGTCATGGTCAGAGTCCCATCCCAGACTCAGCAGTTCTGGCCCCAACAGCCCCTGTGCAGAGGAAGCTTCTGAGCTGGAAAGCGGGAACTTAATGGTATCCACCGTCCCAAACAGCGACCAGGCAGGCACCTGGACCAGAACTGTGCAGTGCTCGAGGGTCTCCCGCAGCGGGCTCTGAGCTCTGCTGGCCAGAACACAGCCACCCACCTTTCTCTCATCTCCTGGATCAGATCCTTGCCCATCTGGGCCACTCACCCTGAATCGTAAGATGGACCTTCCCAGAAGCCAAGGACAGAAAAAAGGGTTGCCACTTGGCAGGTGTGCTGGTCACTACCATCAGCCCCCTAACACTTTATGGGAACCCCCACTGGACAAGATGCAGCTCCTCCCGGCTCACTTGCTGAGCCCCCAGCCCTCCCACCTTCGGGGAGGGGGTAAGACAAGGACCTTGCAGGTGGCTCCTCAGGGGCCAAGCAGGAAAGTGGGAGATTGCAAACAGCCTGCAGCTGAAGCTTGGAGTCACCGCCTGGGAGCTCTGTGCCCTGCGCCCTGTGAACGTCCCCCAGGGGCCCGTAAGCACAGCTTGCAGGAGAGAACAAGCTACTCCAACGTCCACAGGAGAACACGGTGCCACAGCACACTGCCTTCCTCCCGGGGTTCCGCAAGACTCGGCAGGTGGCACTCAGGCAGATGCTGTGGGCAAGCCCAGGTGGCCCCGCAGGTGTTCTCCCATGGCAGCAGTTACCCCAGCCTCACTGGGCTGCACACAAGGGGTCCCACAACCATCTCGCAGCCAGGACCAGGAAACAGTGGTTTTCAGTCTGTCATGGCCGGTGCGCCAGTCTCATTTCAGGGAAGCCTCAGCTTAGCCCACTGAACCCGTTAGCAAAGCAAGAAGCTGACACTCGGCTATAAGGTGTTTAATTTGTGCTGTTCACACTGGACACTGCACAGTACCAGTGTCACCCTGAGGGTGCCCCTGCTCCCCACAGAGAGGACCAGGACATGAAGGCAGGGAAGGCAAGCAGAAAACAACTGTGTGTGTCCCATGCCCACAGGGAGGCGACGAAGGTCCCCCAGCCACTTCTTGTGTTCCTGGGCTTGGCCGGGCAGCTGTGGGGTGAGGAGAATGTGGGGTAGACAGTGTGATGCACCCACAGAATGACAACTAGGCCTCAGATCAGGGCAGGGGAGCAGCGCTGAAAAGTGTGCTGTTTGGGGTGCTAGCAACTTCTTGCAAACAAAACTACAAAAGCGAAGAGTTTGCGCGGAGGGGCATCCTGCTTCCTGTGGGTGCCTTGACACTCCTCTGCAGCACGCAAACTAGAGCTGTGCTGGCCGGCCGCTCCACTTCAGGCTGGCACTGTGCCCTGGGGCAGCCGCCCTGCGGTAGCGGAGTCGGGCCTCTCTTCCTTCTGCCAACGGGGTCTCCCCCTGAGGCAGGCAGAGGCAGACACACGGGGTTCACCATCTGCTGTCCTGTCTGCACAAAGGCTCCTGTGCAGGAGGCAAACAGGGGAGAAGAGACAGACGGTAGGGTGTCGCCAGCAGGACACTCGGGAAGCAGGCCCTTCCGGAGGGCAGAGCCACACAGACCACAGCCCGCCTCTGTCTTTCCAGAGGTCACTCCGTGAGGAGCTCCGACACTCACAGCCCACCTCACCCCGGACTCAGCCCTGCAGGCGTACAGCAAGCAACAACCACACACCCCGGAGAAGGGCTGAAGCCGCCAAGCCACTGGCTGTGGCATTCAGGCGATTCTATCACGCACACTTGCTGGGGCCCAAGAAGGTGCCCCCTCCCCATGGCAGCCCCTGCACAGGGCTTTCCTCCTCATGCCCTGCTGGGCAGGGACCCCTCCCGGGTGGGCAAGGCAGCCTAGCTGTTGTACAGCGGGACCACCCGGGTGACATCCCTCCGGCAGATGGGGCAGCGCTTGGGCTCCGGCAAGGCCAGGTAGCACTCGCTGCACGAGCACACATGCCCGCACTCCAGGAAGACACAGGACCTGACGTTGGTCAGACATACGACACAGGTGGAGCCCAGGCCCTCCCTGTCCTCCGACTGGGCCTCGCTCAGCATCCGGGACACCTGCTCCCGTAACTCCTTCTGCATCTGCTGCAGGCGCAGGCGCTCCTGCCACTGCAAGTACTGCTTCCGCAGGAGGAAGAAAAGCATGGCGCACGTGGCAAAGCCGAAGACCAGCACCAGAACCTTCCAGAATCTGACGCTCGACTCCTGCCTCTGGAGCAGGCTGTCGAAGTCCTGGCTGCTGAGGTAGTACTGCATGCCCTGTTTGGGGGGCTGCAGGCGGACGGCGTCGTTGTCCAGGACCAGCTCGCCCACGCCCGTGAGCGTGGCTCCCACCTTGAGCACCTCCTCCGTCTCCTGGATGCCTTTGGGGCGCTCGCCGCTGATGTAGTGGCCAATGACGTCCGTGAAGGACTGCACCGAGGGGTGGAACCTCTCGTACACTGTCTCCAAGCCCAGGTCCACCGAGTCCAGGGGCTTCAGCACACGCACAGCCACATCCACGCCATCCTCGTGGGGCACCAGGTCAAAGGGCACCGTGTTGGTCCTCTGGTGGATGATCTTGGAACAGTCATTCCTACGTGGGGAAGAGATCTGATGACTGAATTATGGCGAGCAGGCAGGGGAAAGAGGACCCGACACCCAGGAGGACAGGATAAAGTCCATGGGAACCAGATGAGTGCAACAGAAATCTCTGCCACTCAACATCTCTTTCTTTCCAGAATTTGTTTTTGTGTGAGAGCAAGCAAGCCCCACTCCCTTCTGCTGGCTTAGTCCCCTTGTGCCTACAAGGTCTGTGGCTGAAGCCAGGAGCAGGAAACTCAGTCTGGCTCCCCCACGGGGGTGGCATGCGCCCCATCCTTCGAGCCACCACCACCGGCGAGGCCCCACTCTGAGACCTCAGGCAGGAGCAGTGGGCAGCAAGCACCCTCCCAGACAGTCTAACCGTTCATTTCCCTTGGCCACTGAAAGAACACGTCAAGTCCAAGGCCGCCAGGGCTAGCTGGGGAAATGTACTCCAAGAACGGCTCCAATCACCTGAGCGAAGCCTGAAGTACTGATCCGGAAGTCAGCGGCCCTCAGACTCTGGTGTGTGGGAGCCGGGAGATCCAGGTCCCCTATCCCGGAACCCGAAGTAGGACTAGAATGGAGCCCGGAATCTGACAAGCCAGCAGGCCGTCTGGGTGACCGAGGTGAGCTCCCCAGAACACGCAGAGCATCGTGAACGTGCGCACAGGTCTTCGGCATGTCTCAGGAGAAGCTGGAGCCAAAGCAGCAGGGGCCGAACGGCAGGCTGCCGACAGGGGTCAAAGGACACCTACCACAGGTGCGTTGTTCGATTCCACACCATCTTGTGCTCCTGCAGGGTCAGCCGCTGAATCACCCCCTTGCAGTTCTCCACAAACTGGCTGTTCAGGGTTTCTTTAACAGATCGCACAGCTCCTAAGGGAAAACGTTATTTCTTTCCTTTAAACATGTTTTTAAACAATCTATTTCATTTTATCTGAAAGGCAGAGAGAGAAATGTCATTTACTGGTTCACTCCCCAAACATCCAGAACAGCCAGCACTAGCCCTGGCCAGAGCCAGGAGCCCAGAACTGAGTCCCAGCTCTCTGCGGCACCTGCTGGCTCCTAGGGCATATGGGGACAGCAAAGTGGACTGGAGGCAGAACAGCAGGGACTCCTGGCAGGCACTCCAGTATGGGGTGTGACAGCCTGACTGCCATTCCAGTGCCCACTTGTCTTTGAAAAACTGGAAGGGGCGGGGGGGGTAGAAAAGAGAGAAATACATGTATGTATATATACACACACACACACACATACAAAGAGAGCGAGAGCAAACCCACGCCCAAGAGCGCCGGAAGCACTTCCTGGGCCGGTGCACTCCCCTCCCGCCTGCTGAGGCAGTAGGGGTCAAGCTCAGGCCAGGTCCCCCCCCCCGCCATGAGCTGGGGCCATGTGCAGTGCCAGCCAGAATCAGGAGCCAGAGCTGGGTGTCCCTACCAGCAGCTCAGGCACTAGGCCGACAGCCCTCTCCTTACTGTGTCTCTGAAGGATTGGCCGGCCTCTCCTTTAGGATAACAGGAGAGCACGTTTCGAGTTTTGAGTTCCTTTAACTTATCCAAGCGATGACACTTTACTCACTGTAAGTGGGTGTAGGAGCACCTGCTAAGCGCCCCCCACACTTACGCCACTCCTGTCTTCCAACAATGCTGTGAGGCGGCAGAGTTCCAGAAAGGTCTGGTAACCTTCCCAAGAGCACACAGCGATAACCCAGGTTTTTCTGACCCCCACACACATCCCAGACCAGGCACTTAACGTTAGCCAAGGCGGTCTCTATCAACCTTGGGAGAGGGAAGCTGTTTTCCACTTATCAATAAAGACTCATACCTTCAATAACTGCGTAAGGCACACATTTTCCTGGAGCTTCTGAAAGAATACTCTTTAAATCTTTACCCAGGTGGATTTTTTTAGCTCCCTAAAACGCAAAAAAAAAAAAAAAAAAAGTCATCCTTTGCATTCTGATATATTCAACTGAAAGGCAAAATGAATAAATAAATACTTATTTTTTTCTATATTTATCATATTTGAAAGGAAGAGTGACAGAGAAAGAGGGTGAGGCAGAAAGATCTTCCCAGATGGTCGCAATGGGTGAGGCCAAAGCAAGCCTGGGAGCCCAGTCAGGCCTCCCACGGAGGGCCAAGGCCCCAGCACGGGGGTCGTTTTGTGCTGGGTTTTTCATGTACAGAGAATAAGGACCCTGGAGATGGAGGCTGTGACCTCACTGCAGTGCTGGGGGCTCTCTTACACAGAGGTACAAACGACCTCCTGCCCTCCAGCGTGGACAACGGAGCCACACGTGCTCCAGTTACCCCAAACTTATCCTCAAAACATAAGGTACTTGGTAATATGCACGCCGCAGACTCCACATCATTAAATCTGAGCTGTGGCGCCAGGGAGGCTTAGGTAAGCGGCAAGTAGCTAAACCAAGGCAGCCATCGTGGTACAGTCGCTTAAGACATCCTTAGCATGCAAGCATCCCATACTGGAGCCCCGGTTCAAGCTCAAGCTACTCCGTTTCCAGTCCATGCTGGGAGGCAGCAGACGGCAGCCAAGTGCCTGGAACCCCGTGGCAGACCAGGCTCCTGATTTTGCACACAGCTGAGGGGTGAACCAGATTTCAAATCGCCCACTCTTCTGTCCTGCTCTGCCGTTCAAGTGAATTAAACTAAAACAAAAAAAACCACCAGGCACCTGAGCCCGTGATGTGAGCCTCCGCCCATGCGGGCATCCCCATTGGCATCTCGGGTACTATGCTGAATTCCCGTCCTTCACTAAATCTAGGGAATGTCAGGCAAGGGGCCCCTAAAGAGGGAGACAGCCACTGGGCACATGTTTATTTCACTCTGAATTTATCTTTACTTTTTTTTTTTTTTAAGATTTATCCATCTTTATTTAAAAGGCAAATTTACAGAGAGAAGGGAAGATAAGGTGGAATCTTCCATCTGCTGTTTCACTCCCCAAATGGCCGCAAAAGCCGGAGCTGGGCCAATCCAAAGCCAGGAGTCAGGAGCTTCCTCCAGTGTCCCACACAGGTGCAGGAGCCCCAGCACTTAGGCCATCTTCAGCTGCTTTCCCAAGTGCATTAGCAAGGAGCCAGACCAGAAGTAGAGCAGCTGAGACACGAACCAGCGCCTGTATGGGATGCTGGCACCGTGGCATCAGTCCCAATCACTGAAAACTTAAGCCATGGCTACACGGTGAATGACAGGGAAAAGGCCAATAGAAAAACAAAAACAACAGCGGCAACAGTTAACACAATTTATTCATCTACTATTGCCCGGCACCCTCCGTTGGCATTAACCCGTCTCCTTCATAACGGTGCTAGACACACAGCAAGCACCTGACACATACGCAATGACAAATGACGGACTCAGCATCCCATGTGGCAGCACCATGCTGAGCACTTTAAACACAGGCACTCCTTCCCGCCCGCCACCCACTTACACAGTGCACCTAACACAGAAGCCGCACAGCTCCCCTCCGTCCCTGCTACGGGGAGGGAGGGAGAGCGCGGGCAGAGAGCTGGAGTTGGATGAGGAGCTCTGGGCGACTCAGATGGGAGTCTCAGCTTTGCCAGCTGAAAAGGGCGGCAGACACGGGCTCCTGGAACTTCCACACAGGTCACCTGCACGCGGATCCTGGAGGCTGGCACACCGCTGAGACACAGCCCCACCACTGGCAGTTTTAATAACCTCACCAGGAAAACGAACCCTCCCCCACTCCACCAAGCTCAGGGGTCTGCACTCTGCAAAGCTTTTAAGTCACCAAGGGACAGGACCTGGAGGCTTCTCTCTTCAATGACAAGAAGGCAGGAAGTCCAGTGTGGGCCACACTCAGAGCCCAGGCTGACTTGATTATTAGTGAACAGGCGGGCAGCTGGTCTCACAGGGGGCCACGTTGCAGGGCGCCTCCAAGCGCCTTCTACCTGGGTTCGTTCCAGACTCCAAAGCTCCCTTCTCAGCAAGTGGTTCCCAAGCCCTTACTGAAAGCAAGCCGATGGTAATGAACTTGGTCAGGGCTGGGAGCCCATCTTTTCTCCAAGTGTCAAATCAAGCCCTAGCGGTCACACAGAGTTGTTCTAACTGACATAAATCCAAAAACATCTCTCAGTAACCTACCACTTGTCAGGCACTCAGAACCCATGGCGGGGAGGGGGAGATAAAATTCCATCTCCAAATTAAGAGGCTCATCTATCTCTATGCGAATCAGATATTCACAATCCGGCAATGAGGCCAATCAGAAAAAAAAATAATAATCCCAATTTTAGAATCAAACAATCTAAGGTTAAAGTTCTAAACTGGGGCCCGGCGCGATAGCGTAATGGTTAAAGTCCTCGCCTTGCACACACCGGAATCCCATGTGGGCACCAGTTCTAGTCCCCGTGGCCCCACTTCCCATCCAGCTCCCTATTTGTGGCCTGGGAAAGCAGTTGAGGATGGTCCAAGCCCTTGGGACCTGCACCCGCGTGGGAGACCTGGAGAAGCTCCTGGCTCCTGGCTTCGGACTGGCTCAGCTCCTGCCATTGCGGCCGCTTGGTGAGTCAACCATCGGATGGAAGATCTTCCTTTCTGTGTCTCCTCCTCTCTGTATATCTGCCTTTCCCATAAAAATAAATAAATATTTAAAAATAAATAAAGTTCTAAACTGACTATAAAAAACTTTCTTCTGAACCACAACTCTGCTTCACAATTTCAGGGGGCGCTGTCATGTTGTTTGGGGGCTGGGGCGGTGGTGTGCTCAGTCGATCATGCTGCCGCCTGCAACATCCGCATTCCGCACAGGAGTGCAGTCTGAATGCCGCTGCTTTGCAAGTCCCGACTCACGTGCCTGTGAAGACGGCCTGAGTGTTCGGGACCTGGCCACTCACATGGGAGACCCAGCTAGACCTCCTCCTGACTCTGGCTGCGTTGAGGCTCAGCCCTGCCTGCTGTGGCCATCTGAAGTGACCTGGAAGATCTCCCTGTCGCTCCGCCTCTCAAATAAATACATCTTTTTCTCAGAAGTTCAATAAGAGGGACCGCTGTGATGGCAGAGCGCACAAATTCTCCTCCTGTGGCGCCAGCATTCCATAGAGGCGCTGGTTCACGTCCTGGCTGATCCACTTCTCACCCAGCTCCCTGCTTGTGGCCTGTGAAAGCAGTGGAGGGTGGTCCCATGTGGGACACCTGGAGGAAGTTCCTGGCTCCTGGATTCAGAGCAGCTCAGCTTTGGCCACTGAGGCCATTTGTGGAGTGAACCAGCAGACGGAAGACCTCTGTCATTTTCTCTCTATAAAATCTGCCTTTTTTAAAATTTATTTTATTTTTATTACAAAGTCAGATATACAGAGAGGAGGAGGAGGAGAGAAGATCTTCTGTCCGATGATTCACTCCCCAAGTGACCACAACGGCCGGTGCTGTGCTGATCCGAAGCCAGGAGCCAGGAACTTCATCCAGGTCTCCCACATAGGTGCAGGATCCCAAGGCTTTGTGCCGTCCTTGACTGGTTTCCCAGGCCATAGGCATGGAGCTGGATGGGAAGTGGAGCTGCCGGGATTAGAACCAGCACCCATATGGGATCCCGGTGCAATCAAGGCGAGGACTTTAGGTGCTAGGCCACGCCGCTGGGCCCAAAATCTGCCTTTCAAATAAAACCAAATAATTCTTTTTAAGTTTGTAAAGAAAAAAGTTAAATCAATATGGAAATGTGTTATGCAAACATGTCTGTTCAAAAAGCATTATTTTCAGGTTAAGTGTGGTGAAAATAAGTAAATAAATAAGTGCTCTGGTGCTGCGGGTTAAACTGCACCTACTACAAGGCCAGAGGGGGCTGGCTAGCCCCAGTTCTGAGCTCCCAGGCGGTAAGGCTTGGAGCTGGGTGGATTGGATTGCCCCGGACGTGGCTCAGGTCTGGAGGGTAACCTGACCCATCTGCCTACCCTGTGCTCAGAGGCACGTGGGTCAGTTAACCCCGGAGGTCCGGATTGGGTCTGGAAGAGGCCAGCCAGACAGTGGGCTCTGAGCTCCCAGGTGGCAGGACCCGGGCCAGCAACAAGATCTTGAGGGGGGAACACATGGACCTTTAAGGTTCAGACCAACACAGCAGTCCTAGAGGGACAGCAGTGCTGGGGTAGTTAGTAATGACCAATGCCTAATACCACTCACTGGGACATGCTAAAGCTCAGGCTGGGGGCCTACCTGGCAGGGTTAGATCACAGTACTTGCCAATGAGAGTAGAAACAGGGGGCAGGTAATGCTAGACTGGGCCATGGCACTAATCAGCACACAAGACAACTGGGCCTGGGGGCAAATTCTGTGCGGGGATGTGGGGGCCCACCCCTGTGATCTGCAATTTCAGCTGGTTTTCTTGGAGCTGAGGGTGGTGACAGGCTGAGCTAGGTATGACCATGGACCCACCAACATTCATGGGTACTAGGGTTGGGTACAGGCTGGGCTGGTTCAAGCTACAGCACCTGCAGACATACCCAAGACTATGGTGTGGGGCAGGCTGGATCACAACCTTCACTGCTCATATATAAGTCAGGATGGAGGAGTAGTCTGTGACTGGTAAAGGCCTAGCACCCACTGACATGGGTAAGATTTGGATCTGGGAGTGGGTCTGGTGGGGGAACTAAGGCAACTCCCCGATAGGCCATTGATCCTGCTTGTGAGCATAAGATTCAGGCTTGGGTGTTGGTTAGACTGGGCATGAGAGCTCCAACTGTCCACACACGTGTGGGCTGGCTTTGGAAGGGGGTGGATCAGGCAGGGCCTTAGCTCACTGGCAAGTGCACAAGCCAGCCTAGAATATAGGGCACGCTGGGCTAGGCTATCACACCTACAGGTTTGCACAAGTCAGTGATGGGAGCAGATGGACAGGGCCAGGCTGCAGCACTTACCAGCGAGAGCTGGGACTGAGGGTGGGCCAGGTCAGGCCAGGCTGCAGCATCCAATGGCAAAGGTCAGGATAAGAGGGCAGCCTGTGCAGAGCTGAGTCAGAGCAACCACTGGCATGCACAAGATCTGGGGCTGGGAACAGGCCTCGTTGGGGACCCTAGGGAATGCCCCAGCTGTGATTCCCACTGCTGAGCAGGAAAGCCACAATGGGGGTGGTGTGGGCTGGACATGGCTGCAGCGTCCCTCGGCATGGGCGTGGACAGACTCTGAGGCATACCAGACTAGGCTAGACTCCAGCATCCACTGGTGCTCATGAGAGCCACAGTGAGTGTAGGATGGGCTGGGCTAGGTTTTGGTTTGCACTGGGCCATGTGAGAGCTATGTCAGGGCATGGACTGGGAGTGGGCCTGTTGGGCAATCCTACTGTTTCTGCCAGGACAGGAGGTGAACTAAGTCAGCCCGGGCCAAGGACACACCAGTGTACATGAGATCTACCACTGACTGACAGGAGATCCAATAAAGGAGCTTGGGGAACTCCTCTGTCAGGGTGCAGTCCTGAGCACAAGAACCAAGGCAAGGAGCAGCTCAGACAAGACCAGGTTACAGTACCTGCCGGCGTACATATGGCTCAGGTATGGGGGCGGGCCAGTTCATAACACCCACTGGCAGATCTGAGAACCAGGATGGGGTGCAGGACAGGCCGGGTCTAGCTGCATCACCAGCCAGTACATGTGAAGACCAGGACTGAGGGCTGACTATGCTGGGTTTGGTGGCAGCACCTGCCAGCACAAGCTGGAATAACAAACTGGACCAGGCCAGGCTACAGTACCCGCTAGCAAATGCCAAGGTGGCACGGGCTACAAGAGACTGGGCCGCAGCACCCATCAGCACACACAAGACCAAGCATGGGGGGTTAAACCTTGTAGGGGAGTAGTAGGGACTCCAACGCTGGACCACCACTCATGCTGGTGAGCATGAGAACTGGAACTGAGGGCAAACCAGGCTGAGCAGGGCCACAACACCTGTTGGCCTACATGTGAACCATGTTAGGGGGAGAGCCAGGCTGGGGTAGCCAATTGTATCCACTGGTACAGGCATGAGTCAGAATAAAGCCAGGTGGGTTGGGCTTTGCTGCAGTATCAGCTGGCAAGTGCTGGGACTGGGGGCAAATCCTGTCAAGCTAGACCACAAAGCCACCTGGAGCGTGCGCGATCGGGGATGGGGAGTGGGTCCAGTGGAGGGGTTGTGGGCTCCTCTCTGATGGTCTGAAATTCCCACTGGTGAGCATGAGAACCAGGACTGGGGGTGGGCCTGGCTGGACAGGCGGTGGCACCCGCTGACAGGAGTGTGTGCTGGAGGGTCAAATCAATTGGGTTGATTCAGGCTTCAATGCCCAATGATGTATACCAGATCTCAATGGGATGTGGGGCAGACTGGACCAGTCCACTGCACATGCTGGCAGGCACAGAAACCAGAGCTGGGGGGCCAGTCCAGTAAGGGTTATCAGAGGTCGCCCTGACTGGGCTGCAGCTCCCCCTGTGGTACCTGAGAGCCAAGCGTGTGTTGGGCAGGGCTGGGCTGGCTGCAGCACCCATTGGTTTACTGAGGATGGAGAGCAGAACAAACTGTTCAACTATCCCAGTGAAACTTGACAGCAAACTGCTGGGCCAATGGACACTCAGAGGCAGACTGTGACGGCCAATCAACCTCGGAAGGATTTCCTCATCCTCCGAGCAGTGATATCAACAGCATCTCAGAACTATCAAAACCACGTGAACAGAAGAACCCTCAGAAAATGCTCCACAAAGGGGAACTTGAGATGACACCGGGTGGCAGTTCCCCAAACCCTGGGGTGATATGGCGGTTGGGAAGCTGGGCGTGGTGTCTCCTCTTGTATAACTCTCTCCCCATAGACGGGAAGAGGAAATTGTATAAACAAGGGTCTCACCCACTGCTCCCTGACCCTTCCCACCCTGATCAACTATGTAAACATCATCACTAATAAAATTTTTAAAAAACTGCACCTACGATCCCAGGGTCCCATCTGAGCGCGGGTTCAAGTCCCAGGTGTTTCACTTCTGAAACAGCTCCCTGCTTTAACGTGTTTGGGGAAGCAAGCGATGATGGCCCAGGCTCTCCCCTCACCCCGCCCCATAACCCCTTCAAATAGCAAAAGAAAAGAACTGTAATGAAAAAAGCACCTGTCGCGGCTGGGTGTCTCGCAGTGGCCGCCCGCACCGCCACGCTCCTCTCCTTCAGCCCTCCACGCCCCCTCCCTGCCCGGAGCCCCGCACCATGGGTTCCCCTCGTGCCCGGCGCACAGCGGGAGCGGCACACAGCAGCAGCAAAGCGACGGTCAGCACGCCCCTGGCTCCCACGGGCTGGACACCGTGGGGGGTGGGGGTGGGGACGGTGGTCACCTCCAGCTCTTCCGGCCGAGGCCAAGGCGGTCCCGGCACTGACCTTGAGCTCCCGGGAGACCTGAGCCTTCTGTCGGTACACTGAGTACAGGAAGGCGGTGACGACGGAGCTGGTACCCAGCAGGATGAACTGGCCCAGCGAGGGCCTTCCTCCGCTGTCCATGACCTCGCCGCGCCGCCCGCCCTCCACCTGGGACGCCACTCCTGGGTCGGCCCTTCCCGGAACCCACCCACGCCCCAAGTCTGTCGCCAGGCGATGACGCAACACGCCGGAAACGGACGTGGCGTTGCCAGGGCTACCGGCGGCCTCGGGGCGGCTGAAGAGATGCGGTGCTTCGCGGCTGCGTGGTCGCTCGAAGAACGTTCTGATCTTCCCGCGGCGTCCGGCCTGTGACTGACTTCGCCGAACCCTCTGCTGTCTGGGATTCTGGGGTTGTGTGAGCAAAGAGCAGTGTGGGTTAAACACCTAGGATGCGCTGCCTTTCCACCCCGAAAGGGCGCGCAGGTCTCCCCTGCATCTGCCTAAAAACCCTTGATTGTTAACATACTGACTAGAGCTGTACTCACCAGGGGCCTGTCGGGATCTGTTGCAGAAAACCGGCTCCAAGGACTGCCTGGGATCCTCCGCACGAGGCAGAGGTGCAGACCACCGATGGAGAACGGGGGTTCAGGGCCTTGAGCTCCAAGTTGATTGGCTAGGGGCCGGCCACGTGGCGCAGCATCCCAGGTGGACAGCTGTTGCAGCCCCCGCTGCCCCACTTCAGCTCCAGCTCAGGCACCTGGGGAAACAACAGAGGAGGGTCTTCGCTCTCATGTAGGAGACCTGGAAGAAGCTTCTGGCTCCTGGTTTAGAACAGGCACAGCTCACCACTGCGGTTTGGAGAGTGAACCAGCAGATGGAAGCTCGCTCTGTTTCAAATAAAGAGGGGTAGGATGGGGGGGGGGGCTTCAGACATAGGTGATCCTTCTTGGCAAATGTAGGCACTGCGTCTCCTCTGTAATAATCAGATGTTCAAAACAACCTGCAAATATAAACTCGCTGAGTAATTCACAAAGGATGCTCTAAATTCTTGAGAATATGGGAATGAACCTAAATGAATGTATGTGAAAATGTATCTCAAATCTGGAAAGAGGCAGAAAAGTAAAAAACGCCTTTTTTACAAAGGCCTTGCAGCCTTCTGGGGAGTGAACAAGTGGATGGAAAATTCCAACTCTGTCTCCCCCTCTCTCCAATCCTGCCTTGCTGTCAAAAGTCTATGCTGGTGCCACAAATGATGGCATCACTGGCAGACACAGCACCAGGCCCCCATTTGGCCATTCTGTATAGCTTTTACACTTGCACATGTTATTAACATCTGGGAAACAGATTTGTCCGTTGTATTATGTTTAAGCAACTTAGAGGAGTAAACCAGTATGGAAAGACAAACACTGCTTTCAATAACAGTGAAAACTTAAGTGTGATCAATGGTCAGTTGATTAAATGATGGAATGTGGGTGTGTATAATAAAGTGAAAAAAGCAACCTACAAAAAAAGTATGATCCTGGGGTTTTTTTTTTTTTTTTCCTGTTGTTTTTAAAATGCTGATTCACTTCCCCGAGATGCCCACAGCAGCCAGGGCTGGGCCAGGCCTGAAGCCACGAGCCAGGAACTCCATCCAGGATGACCACGTGGGTAGCAGAGACACAAGGACTTGGTTCATCATTTTGATTCTTCTGCTCTTCCCGGCTGCCTTAGCTGTGGCAGAAACACAGCAGCCATTTTACAGCTGTCTCCATCTTAACCTGCTATGCTACAACATCTGTGCATTTCTTTAAAATCACATCTTTTTTATTATTACTTTCGAGACTTATTTTTATTTCGAAAATAAACTGTCAGAGAGAAGGAGAGACAGAGAAGAGAGATCTTCCATCCACTGGTTCACTCCCCAAATAATCACAAAACAGCCCAATCTGAAGCCAGAAGCTTCTGGTCTCCCACGTGGGTGCAGGATCCCAAAGCTTTGGGCCAGCCTCCACTGCCTTCCCAGGCCAGAAACAGTGAGCTGGGTTGGGAATGAAGCAGTTGGGACATGAACCAGCACTCATATGGGATGCCGGTGCCAACAGGTGGAGGATTAACCTGTTGAGCCACAATACCACCACCCTCACCACCCCACCCCCGCTTATTTTTTTTTTTTTTCTTAAGAGGGAAATAAGGACCCAGCACAGTGGCCTAGTAGCTAAAGTCCTCGGGCCATTGGTTCTAATCCTGGCAGACCCCCTTCCCATTCAGCTCCCTGCTTGTGGCCTGGGAAAGCAGTCAAGGACAGCCCAAAAGCCTTGGGACCCTGTACCCACATAAGAGACCCAGAAGAAGCTCCTGTCTTTGGATTGGCTCAACTCCAGCTCTTGCAGTCACTTGGAGAGTGAATTATCGGATGGAAGATCTTCCTCTCTGTCTCTCCTCCTCTCTGTATATCTGACTTTGCAAAAAAATAAATACATCTTTAACAAAAAAAAAAAAAAAGAAGGAGATGAATATAAGTGTTGTGTATCTCTGGAAAGTTGTGTCTCAAATAGCTCATTAATATTGATTGTTTACGTAGAAGGAGACCTGAACAGAGAACAGAAAGGGTGACTGTGTATCTTTTGACTATGAATGTATGGCATATTTTGAATTAATAAAAGTCAAGTTTAAAAGAAAAAATACTACTACTCTACAACCAATGGCTCCAGAGGGCCTCCGACATCCAGGGCTCTGAGCACTAAGAGATAAAAGCTGATTCAGCCAGGGTCTTCGCTCCACTGCTCTGCTCCAGTGGCGAGCAAAACACAGGCAGGGGACACACGGTCCTGAGCCCCGTGGCGTTAGGGAAAGCAAGGGGCCACTCGCTTTTCCGTACTGCGAATACTCTCTAGGGAATTAGAATTCTGTAAGCAGCATGAGGATGGAGTGGCAGCCCCTGATGCGAGCAGGAAAGACTTTTCACTTAGCAGAGAAGGAACAGGTGTACAAAGCTTCCCAGGAGCTGACCAGAATAGCTAGCATGAGACCAGAACAAGTGCCTGCGAAGGAGAGCCTGCAGGTCCCTAAACGCAAAGCAAAACCCACAAATGCCATCGTCTGGGACACGGGATCGAGGGGAACCTTGTGGAGCTCTAACCTGCCTGAGTGGTTGTATTTGAATTTAATCAAAATGTATCCTCGGATCACACAGCAGGGGAAAAACAAAACAGAGGCTGTGAAACAGGAAACCAGCGGACCGTCCACAGCGCAGAGAGGTGAGGGCTTCTTGTTCATGGGTTCAGACTATTTTCAGCCGTTTTATTCTCTCAAGCCTTTTATGGGTTTCTTGGGAGCTCATTAAATGTGACCCTTTTAAATCCCTCTTAAATGTGACTGTTGGCTTTTAAATAAGCTTGACATTTTTCGGCCACGGGCTGAAATCTCTCATTAACCATCCTGGGCACAGTTCTGGGGGACCAGTTGAAAGGAATGTCCTGTGGGGTTATGTCAGGAGCCGGGCAAGATGGGTGGACATAACTGGAGCCAGATGTCCCTGGGGAACCGCCCCCAGCCAGGAATGGCTGTCCCCACTGAGTCACAGTTGAAGACTTCACAAAGCTCAGTTCCTAAGGCAGCAAGCTAAGCTGCCCCTGGGTGGAACAGTTGAGCTGGGGGAGCCAGGGTTACTAAAGATGTACCCCTTCTGCGCGTTTATCATTTCAGGTCTAAATCCACTCTTTCCTCCCAGGGGCAAAAATGCCCTGTCGGCCAATGGGTGAAGGCTCTTGGGCATCCATCTGCGAGGGTCTAGGGACCAGGTAGACTTGAGGGCAAGCATCCAAGCACCTGCACCAACATCACCTGGCAGGTGCTGGGGAAACAGGAAGCAGACAGATATTAATGAAGCATTACGTCACCTGCCACTCCGTTTCCTTTCACGGGAGGCAGCAGCGGGACATATCGGAGTGCCTGGGTCAGTGTCCCAGCTCTGCTTCCACCTGTCTATCAGCGCACGCCCTGGGCAGCAGCCCCAGTGGCTCACAGAGCTGGGTCCCTGGCACCCATGTGCAGATTCACATTGAGGGTCATGCTCCTGGCTCTGGTCTGGCCCAACACAGCCTGCTGTGAACAACTGGACAGCGAGTGGATGGATGAGCTGCGTCCGTCTACACGTCTCTATCTCTCTCGCTGCCCTTAGATAAATAAAAATGTTAAAAATTTAGGAGATAAAATTATTCATATGTATATAGTTATATATCATATGTTATATAAAATAAATATGGGCCTGGCACAGTAGCCTAGCAGCTAAAGTCCTCGCCTTGCATGCGCAGGGATCCCATATGGGCACCAGTTCTTGTCTTGGTTGCTCCACTTCCCTTCTAGTTCCCTGCTTGAGGCCTGGGAAAGCAGTCAGGGACAGCCCAAAGCCTTGGAAACCTGTATGTAGGAGACCTGGAAGAAACTCCTGGCACCTAGCTTCAGATCAGCTCAGCTCTAGCCATTGTGGCCATTTAGGGAATGAATCAGCAGATGGATCTCCCTCTGTGTTTCTCCTCTTCTTTGTATCTGACTTTCCAATAGAAATGAATACATACATACATCTTAAAATAAATATATAAAACATATGCATTTATATTTATATGATAACTACTTACATATACATATACATTGAAGCTTATTTGGCTTCAACCTTTTTTTTTAAGATTTATTTATTTTTATTGCAAAGTCAGATATATAGAGAGAGGAAGAAAGACAGAGAAGATCTTCCATCCGATGATTCACTCCCCAAGTGACTGCAAAGGCTGGTGCTATGCTGATCCGAAGCCAGAAGCCAGGAACTTCTTCCAGGTCTCCCACGTGGGTGCAGCATCCCAAGGCTTTGGGCTGTCCTCGACTGCTTTCCCAGGCCACAGGCAGGGAACTGGATGGGAAATGGAGCTGCCGGGATCAGAACTGGCGCCCATAGGGAATCCTGGCACGTTCAAGGTGAGGCCGTTTAGCCGCTAGGCCACAACCACGCCAAGCCCAGCTTCAACCTTTTTTAAGGTTTACTGTTTGTTCATTTATTTATTTGCAGCAGCCAGAGCTGGGCCACACAACAGCCAGGATCTAGAAACTCCATCCTGTTTTCCTTCAGGGGCAACAGAGACACAATTGCCCAAACCATCACCTGCTGCCTCCAAGGGGTTAGCAGGAAACTGAATGAGAAGTAGAGATGGAACTTGA